TCTTGCTTAAAAAAGAAATTCCCACCCACAAATCACATGACAACAGACTAAGAAGTCCACCCACCTATTTCCTGAACTCATTTCAAAACTTTAAATATTTAATTTCCCCCCAATTTTGCCAAAAGGTCCCATAAATGGAAATTAAGCACATGATTTCCCACATAATTTAAAAAAACAGAATGCTGAACTGATGCTCTCCTGTAATGAACAATGAGTCAGGTGAATATAAAAATGCCCCTGTGAATGGTATTAGCATTGCCACAATGGAGCTAACAAGCACAGCTAAAGCCAGAAACCATTTGACAATCATCTTTCTAGAAAATCTACTCAGCTACTAAATATATGTATATCTCACTTTGTGCAATAGCAAGCCAGTTGCATTCCAAATTTGTCTAAAGTTATTTGCATTTTTCCCCATAAGAAAAAAAATTGCTCATAGAAATTTTTTTTCCCTTTACCTTAATATTTACAATATCCATTGAGCCTGGTTTGCAACACTGCAACTCTATTAGGCATTGCATTACCTGTAATATCTCTAATCAGAAACTTGAGTCATTAGGATACGTGGAATAAATTAATTCTTTGTTTTATTAATTCTCGAAGTTTGATTCAGTATTCTAAATTTATAGCAAATGAAGAACAACGATAATAAGATTTAGATACTAAAAGAGAAGATCAATACTCTAAACAAAAAAAGTCAGATTTCCATAGAAGAGATCTCACAAAAGCTTTGAGCATAAACTTACAAAATAGTCATGAAATAGAGTAACTTAATCTATTCCTTAAGTTTCTTTGAGCTTTCCAAATTCTCTATGAGGACATATTAACTTCTATAGTTAGAAAAACAATAAATGTTATTTTTAAAAGCACTCACCACTGATAAGTATATTTTCCTTCTGCTAACTTGAAAATGCAGTGGCTGCAGCAGCTCTTGTTTACACTGGCAGCCAAGAAATGGGACAGTTAGAAGATCATCTGTGTGCCTGAGCTTCTCTCTGTACTTTTATTAAATGTTCATCGAACAAAAGCATTCATACACTCCCCAACTTATTGCAGTGAGGCAGACACTAAGACTTAAAGGACCCTGGAAAAACTTGGACAATAAAGGAAATGTACCCATAAGATATCCAAAGCCCCTTTGGAGAAATTTGAAAACTACAGTTCTTTTTGCTCATGAGGTAATCATGCTAACTTGGAAGACTTACTTGAGAAACAAAGTAGAGACAGTGACCGACCGAAACAGTAGGGGGCAGAGATAATGAAAGGACAGCTTCCCAAGCAGCCAAAACCAGAACGGTTTTATTGTGCGAACTTCAAGAGCATGCAATTTCTTTTGGTCAAATGAACCTAAAATGTCCTCCTGATTAGTTTCCATGCAAGTACACTTATTCCTTCTAGATACTTATTAGTCCAAGCTGATAAGGGAAGGGAGATAAATGGTTCACCTTACTCAACAAGGTGAGTCACACCTGCAGCTCTGTTGCTGACCTGTCTGAGCACCACCACCGAGTACAAGGAACCATTCAAACGGATTAGGTAAACAGAGTATTACCTGAAATTTGGGAGTTTGAACAGCTCTAGGCTACTGGGGTGTGTAGCAGTGTTTACGAGAACACTGATCTAACTTGTATTTGGGTTGTTCTGGAAGCAGCCATGGTTGTCATCTTCTCCTTTCCCCATTTTCAGCTGTGTCCTTGACAACCTTATATTCCCACCCCAACTAGAATTCTAAAACTCTAAATTTGCTCAACCAAATCATAACTGGAAACTGAAGCTCAAAAATAGTTCTCCACTTCTAATACCAAACTGAAAACTCACTTCCCTGTTGACTGGCCTTTCCTGAGATAAAACACTGTGGAAGACTGTAGTATTTCCCTAGTCACTGGGATGGCAGAGACATGAATGGCAAAGGAAAATCCTTCCAAGCCTTAGTCATGGCCAGGGTGGTATACAAATCAAACAAGATTTTGAGACGTCTTCTTTTCTCCTCCTCTATGATCTGGCAGCATCCCTGAGTATATTCTGCAAGCAGGAATGAGCTGAGAATTCCAGCCTCAATAGCCATCTTTTCAGCATGCAGTTCGTGTTCCCCATAGTCAACTCCTAAAAATCAAAGTCATGAAAATCCTGGAAAATCCTTGCAAAAGAAGAAAGGAGGCATATCACTAACTAGCTGTGTGGTCTAGAAAAACCACTTCCCTCAGGTCTTCCCCGTTTCCACACTAAAGAGGTTAGACTAGGTTATCTCTCAGTTCCTTCCATTCAATTTATGTCTTATTTATGGCTTGCCAAACTAACCCTATTTCATTCTCCTCACCCCCAACCC